TCAATTCTCAAGAGCGTGAGTTTAGACCAATTCTATATACTGTCTGTGTCTTCCTAGTGTTTGAATATTTTCCGTATATACCCATCAGTCTTCGTATTAGCGACAGGTCGAAATTGAATAAATTCGCAGATACTTGTAAAATTATTGTCTACTTCGGTATTAGTATTACTATAATGGTAGACCCAGTCCCAAAATTGTAGAAGTAGAATTCACACCGCTGTTTAAACTGGCTAGTTCTGTCGTTATAATCAGCAATATAAGGTCTAGAATTTATGAAGAATATATTTGAGCTGGGAAGAGAGCAATCTACTTGATACAATGGGCGAGAGGTTGTGTAACCACGCCTGCATGACTGAACTATGCCAATCTAATTTATTTGTTCCCACGTTCAACATTACCGCCCTCCTCCAAGTGTTCGGTGTTGTATGTCGATCTTCTCAGTAATTATGTGTTGAGCTTCAAGAATCTTGTGTTTGGGAACTAATAGCACCACAAATTCACACAAAAGACTTTAGGTGTGGATTATGATCACAATTACCTTACATTATGTGGCACATTAGATCTTGAAGGCCAGTGGCAAAGGAGATCGAGTCTTATTCTCACATTTTACTTTAAACTCGCACACCACTTGCCACTCAACGCAAATTTAATATTAGGTTTTGTCGGTATGACCAATTTCAAGCTAAGAAATCACACCAGATTAATCCAGATACAGAACTATAGCCAAAAGTCCTACCTATATAAGTTATTTATAATACGCTTAGAATTGAATTACGTGAAACAAACACAAAAAGATAATTTACTCACAATTCTTCTAGATGACCCCAAGACATTGTATGAGCCGGCAGTGTACTCACATTCCAGTGTTTTTGAAGAAATATTGACACTCTTGTTGTGCATAATGACGTCACAAAACTCTTTAATATATTAATACCGGGTCAGTAATTACCTCCTAAAAGTCACTTCATACTTCGCCCGTAAACTTACTGAATAATACTTAACTTCGACTAGTAGTATCTCAATTAATAAGTAAATGTTTATTTCATGTGCAAGTCAATCTAAAGAATATGGCAAAAGTATTTTGGATTGACAAAATAGAATTGTCAACATCTCTGTTACCCGTTATAGATAGATAAATGATATTGAAGACAAAATTGAAGTAAGAAAACACTATTGACCTCAAGAAACAGTGATTTTCGTGTTAACTGAACAATAACTGAAAATACCTGACTGATTAGGAACTGTTATATATAATATTAATAATTTCACTGTGACTTGAATGTATCTGTCTTACTCAACTTTTGAACTTGTTTGTTCACACCTTTGACCTAAGAAATGCTGGTTTCACTCTGCATTCTGACTTGATATTTTGGACGTTTTTGCTCCATGAACCTAAAGATTGGAGAATGGTGTATATGGGTTGATTGCTAGTCATTTACAAATAAACTTTGGTACTTGAATTGTAATTGGGTTATATTGTTAGTTGGAGTCATACTTTACGATCGAATCAATCGGCCGTGCTTCACTAATGTACGAAATCAGAATTTGAACGTAACGTTTCGTACTTGAATGATTGGGAGACTACCAGCTGGATTATCACCGCAGAGGTACTGGTTTTTCGTGTTCAGCTGATGTTCATGACATTTTTAAGTATCTAAATATCCGACATTACTCTGTATGTACATCGTCAAATATACAGTTCACGAACTGTTCTACCTGATGTTCCTGTAGAAGTCGTTTTAGGTACATGTGTCCCTTGAAACGAATTATATTCAATATAACAGTTATTTTTTTGTCAAGTATATTTGGTTCTTCCTGTAACAAGCAATCAAAAATATATTCTTCAGTTGATTCGAATGAATTCCTTCCATCATAAATAAGATTTTCACACGATAATAAAAAAACATAAATACCGATTACAGTGGTAATTTTCATACAATGATCATCTAATTAACACTACATTAATTTAGAACGACATATATAACCGAACAATTTTGTCTCCGATTAGATCCTCCTCAAGATTTACTGTAATATACAGTAATATTTATATGCATAATCGAAATTGTGAGACTAATCAATGCAGTATATAAGTCATTGATAACAGACGAATAGTGACGAATAAGTGAAAAGCACAAACTGGTAATGTGATGACAGGGGTACTAGTTGTGATAAGAATAATTAAGACTTGAATTAATCTTATATAATGTGAAATAGATCAATAAGTAGAAAAAAAATATAGACAATGGAATAACATTCGTAATAACAAATATTCAACTAATTGGATCGTGAAACGTATAATTGAGAGAAAATAAAATCAAATTGTTGAAAGGGATGAAGCAAATAATAAAACCATACCTGGTCTAATTGCTAACAGGTTATCTGTTGCGTTGACCTGATCAGGATAAAATTAATTGTAAACTAACTAATATTGATCTTCTCTAATTTTCGAGTTGAAATAAATCCAACCAAATGCGGCAAACTATGTTACAGAACATATGCGAATTGAAAAGAACGATTTTACTGGAAATCAGAAATAAGTAACCCAGCGACCGAAAGTATTCACGAAGAAAGTGAAGAATACAGGATCTGTCAGTTGCACAGCTGAATATCGAACAGATCATCGATCCCGGTCAAGGACAAGGACAACCAACGCGCATCAGTTAGTCGTACACCATGAACTGGCGCATGTAGTGGCGATCTCGCTTTCTTATCTGTACACATTCTGTACAACTCAAATCATTCGAGATAGATCATCTACGTTGGTGATATACAACGTTCAAAGGCTGATCGACACAACCTAGTAGGCAATGTTGGATCGTCAAATCACTGTTCAATCGATGGTCAAATGCAACATCATTCTTTGATACTGTGATAGTCTGCACTAATAGTGACTTGTTTTCCATTCGTCACAAGGTGAAATCTGTCTGACAACACACAGTAGTTCGCACACCATACGATACACATCACAATTCGTCGTTTGGTGAATCACTAGTTTTCGATGGCCACAATAATAAGAAAATGTTACTGTTTGTTCTGTATCGGGGCACATATTCTCGATCGCTCCCTCATTTCAATCTGTCTTTTGCAGGAAGAGAGAAATCGAGTTGGTGACTTTCTTTGAATTCATTTGGTTACAGTAATATTTAATACAGGGTATTACAAAAACGAAGGCATTGAATACGTGTCCATAGAATCTTACATAAGTGAATATCATCAATACAACTTTGACTGAGAAACCAGCGAAATACTGAATTGCATGTAAAGTTAAACAGGTCATTCAGAAGTGGTCTCATGCAACCAAGTGAAAGTGTGTTTCTGCAGATTGCTTGATTGACTGATTCAGTTGGTGTGATTAATGCGAGCAAGTGGCAGATATTCACATAAACTCAACTGTTGACTCAATGCTCCCAATGAACAGACATCAAGATGTCAAATAACTGGTTAACAACATTGAACCTTATCTCACAGTAAAACACACTCTCGTATACGAAATAATTGACACAATTTGGACATGATTAAAATTCAACGTCAGAAAGTTGATGAGTGAGGATTTTAAATTTTGTCGATCACTCACTGACAAATAGATTGAATGTGTAACTATCAGTCTCACTTGTTGTGAATTAAAATGCATTAAACCACTGACTGCGTTACACCTAAGTTTTCGTATACTTCTCAACACCAATATTGATAGTTTCAGGAAATCGATGGAAATTCGTGGACTCAATCAGTCACCTGACCACGGTCAACTGGCAGTGGTTAACAATGTTTTTCTAATGAAGCAACAAAAGCAACACTACAATCACATGACTGCATTCCGTCGTGATCAATATATGTAGTTTGTTTTAACTGGAATGCAAAGCATTACAACGGCAACACATTATATGACGTTTGATTTCCATCATTGTCAACAACACATGCTCGTCTAATTATTTTGACCAACAACTTGATTTACAATAAAAATGAATAGTGCTTGGGTTTCTAATAATATTCTTACTATTTTTATCAGTCAAATGTTTGTTGATGCACGTCAACATTATCGCTCATGTTTTATTTATTTAGTTGAACACATAAATAGTGGTACAAGTGGGCACCAGATACATATGCGCCACACAAATCAAATGAGATTTGTGTGAGGGCTGTGATATTGCCCATGTGCCCAAACCGAAGTAGGATCGCCCATGTAATCAGTAATGTAAACTGTTCAGTAGTTACACATTGTCCTATTCTACTTAGTTTGCACGCAAAGTGAGGCTACTGACTTGAATGTTCGGAAGCGAAGAGTTGTAGATCGGAACACATTTGCGCCTACTTCATTTCGAACAGCAACAAGTCAATGCTAATTGAACTTACATTGAAGGTATGATGCGCAATCACACACATAGCTGAATTGGTGACTTCAAACGTATCTTCCGTTCAACGACATATTCAGTATCATTTATTTCTAATAAAGCTTTACAACGGTTTCATCCACCACTACAGACATCAACACAACGATATTCACGGATATTAAAACAATAACAACAACATCATGTTATTTCACGATTTCAATATCAACAAATTAGACCATCAGTCCCAACACCGTTTCACATAGTCCCGTATGAGTGCAGTCAGTTGATGTTTACACCACACAAACCGCCTCCTCGTCATACGTAGAACACGAGAACTTGTCACCTGAATTCGCATCAAACGAGCCACCGACATCTTAGAGTTAAATTAACTTGACAAAGTGAAATCACACACAATCGTGTCATTGTGACAATACAACCACATCATAGTATTCGCAATCTCTTCGACCCGTCCGACACACACACACCATTAAAATGAAGTACACTGTAGTTCACAGTGAACTCTCAAATGAACATAAGAATATATCGGAATGAATGGAAGGTGATATTTATATGGAAATTAATTTAACACTTTACAAATTCATGTGTAGAACAGCACACAGATATCTAGTCACGCAACATGACTATTGTGATCAATGAAGAATGATGCAAAGTCTATTTTTTATTAACTTTGATCCCATGATCACCACGTTTCCAGTTCACTGGACACACTTCACCATGCTTCTCCACAAATTGGAACGCGTCCAGTAGTCGTAATGTTTCGTCTACAGATCGTCCAACTGGCTTGTCATTGATCGTGATTTGACGTAGAATTCCCTTCGGATCAATGATGAATAAACCTCTAAAAAGGAAGGCATAGTGAGGGAGATGATAAGTGGTAGTACAGATAAACTCGTGTCCATGTGCAAGTCCATTACTAATACTATCAATGCAATAGAAAGTTCAGTCGATTGATGAGATTCGGTTGTCTTAATGAGCACTGGGTTCTAATGGTTAGAAAGTTCGTGGAGAATCACAGCTTCTGTGATGTCCCAAATACAATTTGTGCTGTGTTCAATCTAATAACACATTCATTGATTTTCTATCCAAGAATACGGATCGAATGAGAATTTGATGCAGCAAACATTTAACTGTCAACAGGTGAACTTTATGTCAGAACACAGTCAAAAGTAGAACAGTGGGACATGTCAGAGAACTTAAAATATCGTTGACTACACACACGGCAAGACGCTGAGAAACCAGTACAATACCAAACTGAAACATTGTTTCAAGAAGATTCTTGCATCCTCGCACAATTATTTCAATCTCCTAATCCAAACTGGAAACTAGACACGATTCGTTCCACACGTCTTTCAGACTGATTCTCAACACAGATTAGCAAAATTGCAACAAATCTCAGACAACAAATTACACGAATACGAACACACAACTCACCTGAATGCATTGCCATCCTCCTCATCTAATACACCATATGCTCTGGAAATCTCCTGTGTGCGGTCGGCCAACAGAGGAATTTTCATCTGACCCAATCCACCAGCTTTACGATCCAAATTGTTCCATGCAAGATGACTGTATTGAGAATCTGTAGAACAGGCGATCACTTGACAATTTCGACTGTTGAACTCCTCCACCTGGTCACTGAACGCGATGATTTCAGTGGGACACACGAATGTGCTGTGAAAGAATAATGAGGAGGAGAGTCACTGGAATGATGAGACTACATGCAATTTCACGTATTCAGATTAGGCATATTAGCCGAGCAGTGAGCAACTTGACTATGCAATTTGACATGTATCAAGAAAGCATGTCAGCCAACCAGTCAGTCAGTTAGTCACTCCGATAGTTAGCCACACTAGTGTCAGTTCAGCCATATTGAATTAATCCTCATCATAATTATCAAGCGAACGATAAATCTGTGCATCATCGGTGAACCGAATTTCACACTGTTGTCTAACTATTTGTTGCAGCATAATACTGAATTTTCTGAAATAAGGTTACACGCATTTTCTAGGACGTCTGAAGGAGGCAATTACCTAGATATTCGATACAGTGATGTGATCAACATCGACTGTCAGAATCTCGTTGGCATGAATAAACTGAAATGAAAATTACCAGTGTGCTTCGTGAACAATTTCCTAGACATTTAATCTCGATCCACAATGAGAATCCATATATATGTACTCGTCACGTGGTGTTCACTATTACCACTGAGATAAGTGGAGCCGGATGAATGATTGGTCGAAACACGGTTCAAGTATTCCCGATGAGTGAACCCACACAGATGGCACCATATGAGAACAGATATTATTATTCAGTGAACACGACTTAATCATTCATTCCAGATATCCACATACATTGCAAAGTCGAATCACAACAAATAAACTCCAATAAGAATTCGCGTTTATCACATCCGAAAATGTCGAGAGAAACCAGAGGATCAACATATCGTCTGACCTCTACAATAAATTACCTCCCACTATCTAACAATTCCAATAACTCTCAAATTTCATACACACGTCCAACGCATAATTAGGACAGACGGTTACAACAAATACACATTCATTCAACCAGTGGAACAAGTTCGGCCAATCAGAAGACGTAATCGGTTAGAATAGAGTGGGTGAATTAATCTATGCAATCAAACACTATGCAATAACTACACAACAAATATGCACAATTACTACTTACAAATCAGCTGGATAGAAGAATAATACAACATATTTTCCCCGATAATCCTTCAAACTGATCTCTTTGAATTCACCATTAACCACAGCATTTCCTTTGAATTCTGGTGCAGGTTTATTGGGCAACAATACCATGATCAATAATTACCAAGCTGACAGTGATTTGTATGTCTCTCAAATCAGGTTTTCATGCTTATATACAATTCGAGCAACACAATAACCTTGAATATAATTGGTTCTTTTTTTTTTCACTGTCAGTCCATTGGGTTGATATAGTTGAATTAAATATCAATCACATGACAGCATATTTCATCATATCTGTTGTAACACACGTAGTCCATAGTTGATCAGCTTACATTTGAATCAACAATTCCAAACACACTATGCTTGTATACACGTGACAAATGGATTTCATATTCAGTGATTATGACGCAACGGATGCATCATATTTGAACTGAAGCACAATTAAATGATTGTGTCACAAAGTGTGAGTGCAATCATGTTTTGCCTGATTAAAGGTCAATTGCAAAACGTTAACATAGAAAAGAATCAAATGAGAATGACACGTGGTTGAGAAATCGAGAAAAAATATTGACAATTCATTCAGTGATCTGACAACTCACTACTTACAATCTGTTGAATGTGTATCACAAGGCTTCGATCAATCGATGCCACTTCCACACTTCTCTCAGTCAACATCAAACGCATTCGAAATACAGCTTCTTGAAGCATTCCACAAACCAGATATTCTCAAGTAATCTCAAATCAGCTCACGATGCGGCTGCAGCAACCAATGCATTGTTGCATCAATCACAAACAAATAAACTATTTCAAACCACTAGGTTAGAAACGAAAACGGGATTAGAGAGACATGTAGTGTAAGAATGATGGAGTTAAGACAATAAAAATATATTCGTAACATCATAGTTAGCACTGTAAATTTAAGAAGTAAATTACTTGATAGGAATTCCGCATATCTGGACAACACAAATATACATGACCATATATCATCTTAAACTACACACATTCTCTGTGATTCGGTTTAGTTAGATTTTCACGTGAGATTCCGTCAAAGACATTTTCATTGTAGATTCCGTTGAAGATTTCGGGAAATCCATGTGGATTGTCCGATTGATTTGGTTGTTTGTTTACTTGTCTGCCTGATTGGTTGCTACTTGTTTGTTTGCTTCTTTGTTTGTTTGCTTGCTTGCTTGCTTGCTTGATTGTCGACTGACGATTGATAACTTTCTACCACTTTTAAACTGTACACAGCTCACACTGATTTCGCAACCATCAACAAATCCAATGGTCACACAAAATACACAGTCTCGTTATCGATTCTCCGTTTCACACGCTCTGCTGAAACGTGGATCACTCGTATGCGAGTGACTAGACGATGTGAGGAGATTTCACACTGATTCATCTTCGGAGTCACAGTGGCACAACTTATCTCCAACATACTACACGAGGAAACATTGATTTTCAACTCGCTTCCACACGCTCAACCAACTGGTTTCTAGAGCTCTTCATTACTTAAATTCGTCCAATTCCTGACACACACACTCACTCATACATACTTAAATATGATTGAGAGGAAATCGTTCCACTCGTCCATTCGACATCAAGTACATACATGAACTAAATTCGTGTACGATTTGAAGTTTCCGTTCCACAGTTTTAGTGCCGATGAAACCAATCATGTCGAGCTGGTAGAACAAACACTCACATCAACTAGCATGAATAGATCAGTATCACAAACCTGTCATTCATCATATCTCATGACAGGTAGATCAAGCTGTTTGTTGTCCACAACGTAACGACTGACGGCCACACAATATCGACCAAAAAAATAAGACAAGAACAAATACAATTTAACCAATATGCTATTCATAATTCAACACTGAACATTGTCACCACCATTTCAACACACAATATTATCGTATATCAATGCATTGAATGAACTATTATTTTAGATAAGATGTTTCAATGTGACGGGTGTTCAACATCAAATACAATTCACAACTTCCCCTTATCCATATAATCATCATCATATGTGCATATGATCACATGATAAATACACATAACCAGTGTGCAAAATTATTATTATGAAAAAGCAAATGAAAACAAACAACACATACCCAGTGATATCAACTAGCCACATATAAATTACAAATAATCCAATCACTCCATCATCGTCATCGTCAACAAAAACAACGACCACTATTGATAATAATATTACGAATGTGTTGGTTATGAAAATCATAAGTAATCACAAATACATCTACATTAAACACGAATACAATTCGATAGTTCGATAGATTTTTAGTCGATGAGAAAACTTTACATTTCCTGTTGGTTAGTGTGCAGATAATTTCACGGTTTGTGTTCATTTGAATAAACGTAAGTGTTTTCAACTAGAATATTTGGACTTTGCAGGTAAGCTAATCCCTCTGTCTCATACACACGAATAAATGCAGATGAAGACAATTAGTGTAGCAACAGCCTCTACATTAGTGGACCTCAAGATACACAACCGAAAAAGCAACATTCTCAAATAAAACACTGAGACCTCCAACCCAGACACAATTGATGGAGATGCTCTGGATTACATGTAGCTGGGAAGCATCATCGATGAACAAAAAGAATCCGATGCAGACTCAAGTGCAAAAAATGGCACAACAAGAGCTGCATTTATACAAATGAAGAACATATGGAACTCAAAACAACTGTCAACCAATATCTATGTCATAGTCTTCAATACGAATGTCAAGACAGTTAGTTATAATGTACGGAGCTGAAGCATGGACAACCACTTAAACCATCATCAAATAGGTGCAAGTATTTATAAACAGTTGTCTAAGCAAGATACGGGGTGTCCGTTGACCTGATACCATCAGCAACAGCCCACTGTGGAAGAGAACAAATCAGCTCCCAGCTGAGCAGGAAATTAGGAAAAGCCGTTGCAAGTGAATAGAACACATATTGAACAAGTCATCAAACTGCATCACGAGGCAAACTCTAACACAGAATCATAAACTGAGATGAAGAATAGGATGGCCGAAAAGCACACCATGCCGAGAATCGGAAGCATATATGAAAAGCTCAAACAGCAAGTGGAAAGAATTGGAAAGGATTGCTCAGAAAAGGGTTGGATAGAGAGTGTCGGTGAGAAGCCTACGCTCCCCCACGTGGGGTAACAATCGTTAGTGACTAAGTATCTATTTTCACTAAAACAGATTCGAAATTCTACAACTCACTTCTCGTCATCTGACAAGAAGTAAATATGACTGGATGTAATGAGTAGGTTATACAATATCACATGTTTGAATAAGTAAGGGTTAAAATGACATATGTGTGATGTTTGTATGAAACCTTAATTCCGTTGCATATTACCTTGCTCATTACCACAAATTTAGTATGCTACAAACACATCCATCTACGATCTTCTCCTTTCATCATGATCTATTTACTCTAATAGAGTACACCGCAATAAATCAGGTGATTTCAATGTCACATTATTACACACAAAGTCATTAATTACCAGAATGAGTCATATCCTGAAACGACAATCATTAAAGTATGGAGATCAATACATTCTTACGTTTGGTGAACAATTCTACTGACATGCAAACAACAAACTGATATCAATAGATTTTTTGATGCATTTATTGAATGGATGTCACAATATGGAATTCGGACGATGTGTGTTGTAGACTAATTGGTGTTCACTTCCAAGTGATATCGACAGTGACTTTGGTTGCAGTGAACATGTGAGACAATCATCAATTGACTTGTGAGTGTGGAGATGACAATTCATCCACAGTTGTCTACAAACTCATTGAGTGTTAGAAGTGATTCACGACAACTGTGAACGTATTGTGTGGTACTGAAAGACTATTCACTTCGATTATATGAGTGTGTTTTTAGACTGAGTAAAATTCACTTTCAAATTCTATTTGTTTCACTGTTTTGAGTGTATCATCACTAACTAACAATCATTATGGCATTGTTGCATAGACAATTATGGTGTCATTCTTCGTTCTTGCAAATCAGAAAACACATTTTTTGAAGAATAAGTTATATGCAGAGAGAATAATGACTCCGGTAGAAGTAGTGGTAGTAGTGTGCGTATTTGTAGTCGTAGAAGTAGTGCGAGTACTAGTGGAAGGCGTAATAATAATAATAATATCATATTGTTTGAATTGATGGGACACAACAGTTACATCCGACTAGTCGATAAACCATGAAGTTAAATCATATTTGTGATCTCAGATGGTTTAGTTCATATGATCCAAATAACATAACACTACTGATACAACTATTCATTTAATATAGACACCTGACAATATCCAAGTAACATAATGTACGTTCAATAGAAACTGTGTGTAGTTTCGTGTTTGTCCATCCACCCCACTTATTGATTGTAATCATTGATATATCAAATGCTAAAACATCTTGAAATAGATGCAAACTGATCATATATATCCTCATATGAATAGATTGCCAACTATGGTTTACACGAAATACTTGCACAAAAACAGGTTCATTTAAAATAAAGATTGGTGGTTTTACATTTCGAAGAGTTTTACATCATTCACTGTTGCATAACAATAAAAAATCTCTCAAATTTGAACGTGTAGTATTTTTGTAACTAAATAACGTGTGGAAATTTTCGGTTTATTACATAACGTGCTTTAAAGTGATGAAATCAGATTTATTTATAATAAACCTTCCTAATTAAGGTATAGAAAATCACCGATTTGTTTGTTTGTTTGTTTCAGTAAATCTTTTTCAAAGCTTTTTATTATGCTTATTTTGTCAAGAATGTTGAACCTGTTATTAATGAATGGAAGAGTTGTTTAACACTAATGCCTGGAAACATGTTATTTTTCAGCTCAGAGAATGTGTAATGATTCTCCATTATCAATATAAAACCCGTATATATGTGTGGTTTGTTACAAAATATCGATGAAATCAGTTCAAATGATGAAGCGTAATCTGTTGGAAATTGTCTAGCATGTTTGAATAATTTGTCCAGGATTGGTTTGGATGGAGTGTGCTGTCGGGCGGCCTATGCTCCTCCACGAGGAGTAATAGGCGTAAGTAAGTAAGTTTAGATAATTAATAAAAGTTCG